CAAGTTTTCTTCTTTTTAGCGATAGTTTCTTTTAGGTTTTAGTTTATTCTTTTATATATTCTTTAGTATTAGTATCTGTTTTTTTTGATGTATTAGTTTTTATTATATACCATTTTTTTTGTTCCCTATTATTTATTTATTTTTATTTTTATTTTTTTTATAAAAAAGTATCATCAGTTTGGTAACATTCTATTGTGAAGCAGGAATCTTGACAAGGTGATGTAACAGCCAGCTAAAGAATCCAAAGAAAATAAGTTTGAAGTAAGTTCTGGATTTCTAAAGGAGGCCAATTATTTGTTAGGCAGGTTGCATTTGGGCAAAACATAGCAGTTTAATAATTCACTTAACTGCAAGAGGGTGTTTCAGTACCTGCAAGGTATGCTATAGATAAGTTTATCTTTTAGTTAGAACATTATAGATTTAAATTTTTTCATATATTAATGTAAGAATGAAAATCTGTTACTATAATAAAATAAACAGGATTGCCAAAGGAAAAAAAAAATAATAAAAACTTTTATAGTAAAAAGAACTAATATTGTCTAAAAATAAAAGTTAAGTTTTTGACATATTTAGATAAATTTTGACATGTACTATATTTTTTCAATTATAAATACATAATACAAAAAATTTTTTTAAAAAATTTATATTATAAAATTACCTAATATAAATTGAAAACATAACAAAAATCAGATAATTTTTTAGAGAAAAGAAAAGTAAAAAATTTAAAATTATATATAAAGACCTAATCAAAATATATTAAGAAGAAAAGAGACTTTGTTAGGAGTTTAGACACTTTTGCAATAATGTGATGTGGTGTATTGTGATATATTTAAATATGCTATTTTGACTTTATATTATATTTTTAATTTAAATATGTGATTATAGACCTTAAAAAATTATTTTTATATATAAAATTACATTTTTGACATTTTTTATTAGTGATGAAAGGCTGATTTAAACACTAGTTTTTGAATATTTTCACTTTTTTTCTTCTTATGCATGTGTTTTGTTTTGATATCAGCTTGATCTGAGATAATCAAAATTTGCACATCCCGATTAACTATTTCTTATATGCCACATTATATTATTGCAAAAGTGTCTAGATTTCTGGTAAGGTTGGATGAATAGGTATGCTTCTAATAAAAAAAATCAGATGATAAATAATGCTGCTCTAACCAATCAAATTACAAAAAATTTGATTAATCTGAATTAATCCAAACAAAACAAACAATTATTTTAAAATTGTACATATTTTAGTATTAGCTCTTTCTACTGCAAAGGCTCTATATATAAAATTTTATATAGTCAGTGAAATGTTTTCAAAAATATTTTGGCATCTACTGAGCTGATTGAAATAAACTAACCACCATTAAATTTATCTTGATGAGCTTTAAAAAAGTTTTCCTTAAACTATTGCCACATTTCTTTTAGAAAATCGCCATATTTCTGTCTTAGAAATTTACATATAAAACCATGTTACATTATACTATGACCTAATTATTTAATTGTAAGATAGTATATAGTTAACAATGCTTTTTAGTCTATATTTAAAAATTTAGTAAATATTTGTTAAGTTATAATATTCTAATAAAAATAATAAAATTACCAACGTTAAAAAAAAATACAATATATATAAGATTTTGTTTTATATATATTTATATATTTTTTATATGAAAAAAAAGGGAATTCTATTTTCACTCGGGTTAAAATCACCGATGAACTATAATGTCATTTGCGTAACCAAAATTATTAGTATCAGTAATATTTCGGGTGAGTTTAACCTTAACCCGGGTGAGAAATTTTAAAATTTGTAACAATGTTGTGATTAATAATATAATTTTTACTTATTTAAAATCTATTAAACACTTCGAATTTTGATCAAAGATTTATTATTTACGAATTGAAATTTTAATTGTAAAAAAAATTTATTTTTAGAATTATTTTTTATTTATTGTATAAATATTTGATATAACTATTAAACCTACTGTAGCATATCACTTGATTCAATATGCCCTTAAATTTTTAATTTAAAAATAAAAATAATAAAATTTTAATAGCTAACAACATCGGTTTAAAATCGATTTTGATTTTACACTGTTTATTGAGAATGAATATATATTTAGATTTGATTATCAAATGAAGTAGAAATCCTGATCTCCCAACCAAAACTTGTAGTAATGCCATAATTCAAAAAAAAGGGTTGGGCCACAACCCTAGAACTAATAACAATATAAACCTTAATCAAAATTTATCAACAAATCATCAGAGTTACTTTCATTGCTTTCATTGTCTAATAATTCATTTGTCAACAAATCAACAGAGTTACTTTCATTGCTTTCATTGTCTAATAATTCATTTGTCAACAAATCAACAGAGTTACTTTCATTGCTTTCATTGTCTAATAATTCATTTGTCAACAAATCAACAGAGTTACTTTCATTGCTTTCATTGTCTAATAATTCATTTGTCAACAAATCAACAGAGTTACTTTCATTGCTTTCATTGTCTAATAATTCATTTGTCAACAAATCAACAGAGTTACTTTCATTGCTTTCATTGTCTAATAATTCATTTGTCAACAAATCAACAGAGTTACTTTCATTGCTTTCA